TTGAGGAAACGTTGCATGGAAACCAGAGAACGGGCATGTATTGCCGCCTTTGGAAACCGCATGTTTGAAAATTTAAGATTTATGAGAAAAACGCACTACAAATGGGTGCCTTCCAGAAAAACATTCAACTCAGAGTGGAAAGGTGTCTAGGAGTTTCAGCCAAGCTTGCAGAAGAAAGCTGTGGCCCTAATGTTGATCATTTGAATGTGCACGCAAACAAATCTGGATTCTTGAAATGTTTGGCACAAATGCATCCCTTTGCTGTCATCGTGGCAAAGGTCTGCACGTGTTCCTTAGGTTCTCAGGTGGCCGCCTCGAGGCAGTGGCACTTGGCGCCCACTAGGCTGGTTACTTAGTTGACAGTGAAGCCCAGGCCTGCCTCGGGGATGGCAGAACACAGGGGACAATGACGAGGCCGCACCCTCAGGAGTCACACTCCATGTGACGTAGCGAAACACACACTCACAAAACCCAATCAATGTTTGGGAAGGTTCAAGAGAATTCTGCCTACACACACACTAGTGCTTTCAGCTACTTCTGCAAAGGGAAAATCAGAGAAATGCCTGTTCTCAGGCTGGGCTAGGTTATAACAAAAAGAAACATTCTTCAATAATGTTTTAGGGTACCCTTCCGTTTTTGAAGCAGCATAGATTTTGCTTATTGAAAATTTGCAAAAAAAACAGTCCTACCCAGTGGCTGTTCCTATGACCAGTGATCACTTTCATCACAGAAGGTTAAACTCTACCGAGACGAAGGGTCCCTTCCTTCAAAGCCCAGGAGAGTAAGTCGACCTCACCCTGAGCGGAGAGGTCAGAGTACGTCCGGGCTCACAGATACGCCCGCCTGAGTCCAAGGGAGCACCCCAAACAGCAGCAGTCACCATGAGCCCACAGTATAGGAACAGTCACTGCTAAGGGGAGCAGTGCGCTCAGCGGCTGTTTACAGGCCGTCCCATGGAGGGATGCTCACCTTCCTCCAGGTCTGCTTCCAAAGGCCCCCAAGCAACAGGGAAACCTGCTGGGTATTGTGAAACAAACCATCAAAAGAGAACGTGCTGAAAATTCCACAGGAGCCTCTGCCCACCGTGAGGGGAGGGAGGGGGCCGGCAGAATACTAACTTGCTGCTCCAAGATGATCAAAGCCCCCTAGAAACGGAGGCAACATTCAAAGAGACTCGGGGAGAAAGGAGGGGATGTCTTCTCATCAGCAAACGACTGATTTATGCATACTTTTACCCAATCACCTTCCACAGAAATAGGACACTTGTGGGGACACACGCACAGTGTGACCTGGTACGGCAAGATCACAATTCTCTGGTGTCTGTACGTCATCCTTAGTGAGCGTGTGTGTGTAAATATACACACATGTACACACATGTGTGCACATACAACATCATAGATATAAGTGACATGACATGCCAATTTGGGGGAAAAAAGAATAAAAGTTAAGAAATTGGCCTTTTAGATTATGAAGTACAGATTTAATCCAAATATATTGTTTACATATTTAGAAGAAAAAATAACATTTACTAAAACAATGGGGAAAAGTTTGGTGGCAATTCCATTTAAAAAATAACCTTTAAGACTGGATTTCGGTTATTCTAGAAGTTAACATACCCAATTCTTTCAAGTCTGAGCAAATTACACTTTGATAGTATATCATCCGGTGAGACTGATATCTCATTAAGCGTCAAAGTATAAGAGTCTAGCAAGAAAGATTTGATTTCCAATAGGTAAAGCAAACAAAAATATCACACACACATGTGCAAACCAAGACAGCCTTAAAATGCTGACTCTGTCTATGAAATAGTTCTCTTTTGAGGAAGAAAGGAAAAAATGTTTAAACATGTTTGCATTAGAATCTGATAATGCAAACTACTAACTGCTTTGAAAGAATTTTAAGAAAAGCCCACTGATTATTCAGGAGCACTCATGAATCCATGGTAACCCAAAGCCCCAAACCACGAATTGCAAGCGTGCAGGGTACTGCACAGACTGCAGTGACCCCAGGGACAGACGCCCAAGATGTGCACTCTGAGGGCTGATGTGGACTCACCCTTTACAAAGGGTCAGCAACACGAGGGGTCTTCCCACTAGGGGTGTCTGCAATGACACTGCCGCTGTGCTTTTCAACTGGGGACATGCAGGTTCCCCTTTCTGACTCTCTGGGAAGAAGGGACCATACGCCAAGAGGCCACCAGTGCCTCCTGCAGAATGCCAGCTCCGAGCCTGAAGGCCTGTGTGCCTCCTCTTCTCCTGCAGAAGAACCCAGTTCTTCCCTTTGGAGGGTAACTCCATATTCTGAAACTAATAAAGCTTATTGCATTGCCACCTCCCATTCTATCATTCCTGGTCACTTACTTCTAACCTAACTTACACAATCATTCTTTTCTCTTTAGAAACTTTATAAGAATGAATTGAGTGTTTCCATCATGTCCCCTTGAAATAAAGCATAATATTAAATTGCCCAATTTTCCTTGTAACCCAGTGATGAGAATTGTGATGAGGTCTATCCATAATCTCACTTGTATTACAGAATTAGCAAAGTGCAGTTCAAGGATTTAAAAATAAGTAAGCATTGATGGTTACAAGATATTTTCCCAAAAATTATTGTTGATGTTTACAATTTTTTAAAAAACTTTTCAGATAGGTTTTTAAACTTGAAGAGGGTCTCAGTGGCAGCTCTAGAAAACCCAAATGAGATATGAGCACATTAATAAATTAACACATGCTTCATCTGAAAATGTAAATACCCTCTATCTGTAACTACGCTTTCATGAGTTCTTAATATGTGACTAGGCTAAATTTAGAGTTAAAAATCATGATGCCCTCATTCCCTCTTGCTGAGTCCTGCGCTGCTAAAAACAAATCAAAACAGCACCACACTCGGCACTTTTTCGTCATCGACAGTCCAGTGCGATGGGGGCAAACCTCCATGTTTCATCAGAGGAGTTCTCTAAAGGGCATTTTGTAGAGATTCCAAAACTAAGCCCACCAGAAAATCTTTACAACAGTTTAATTTCCAAATTCTCCTAGATCATATTTTTAAAGGGAAAAGTTTTTTTTCCTTTTTATTAATCTGGATTGAAGAAAAACACACATTTCATTTATTGTCTGGATTATAGATTCTTATTAAACAAACCAGAGCTCATTATAAAATCAATATCAACTTAACCACTATGCCCCCAGGAGGAACAGCAAAAAGGTCACTCTAAGAAATTCAAACAATTTTCCTGCTGGAAGGGCATGATTTTAATTACAGATACTATTAATTAGAGCTGTCACTGGGAAGATTTTTTTTCTGTTAATTATCACAAACTCAGTTCTATGTATGCATTTGCAACCTGCATCTTTGTAAAAATTAGTCATTTCTACATGCAAGTCCCACCTTTCCATTCTTTCAATATTTTATATTTGAATTTCAAAGTGGATCAAAGGATGCCATGCTTTCTAGAAATCTTCCCCTGTATGATCTCCCGTCACACCCAGAACAGAACTGGTGTGATAATTTATTTATGTCCTGGCACAGCCCTGGCCGAGAAGACCTGGGACCTTACACTGATGGGGCTTGCTCACTAGTATTTCCGGATAAATTCTCACTAGTTTATGTGACATTTTTTCCAGGCTTCTTCAAACGTGATTTTTCTTTTGCTTTGAAGCAAAGCTATGCACTGCGGCTGAAATGCCATCTCCCACACATTTGAAGTTGCCATTTCTTTATAAGAAAAGATCCCACTGACCAGGCTTGTGACCTCCTCCAGAAAACTAGAGGTTTTCTCCATTCACCAACAATACCAAGAATCCTGAAATGGGAAAAGAAGCTATCTCCTGGTCTCTTTTAAGCATAGAGATTTTATAAATTCACCCCTGCTCCTTCTGTGGGACAAGGGCAGGGCAGCCCAAGGAGCACAAAAAGCCAGCTCAGAGGAGCTCATGGAGGGCACTTTGCAGGACAATTATTGGGGGGTGTTTTGTAGAAAGAGCTTGAGAATCTCCCCCCCCTTGTAACTCTGATAGAATAATAATATTTAACTTATATATGATTGCAAAATATGTATCATTTACAAGACACGTTACACTTCAGGATCACGTGACGACAGAAAACAAAGAGTCTAGTTCAATGGGAGAAAATCTTTTACAAATTTATATTGATTAAACTTTCAAAACGATGATTAAGTAAATTATTTTACCTTCCCAAATGGGAAAATATGCTTGGAGTTAAATGATATTTTATGCTAAAAGAAATCAAATGCCCTAACTTGTATATATTCAGGGCTTGCGCTATTGCTAAAACTGAAGGCATAGTCTCCTTACAGGACATTATTAAATGTGAAGTGTATGCCATAGGTCTTCCAAAAACTCTGTTTTTTTTTTTTTTACGCCCAATTTGGTTTGAACTTGCTTTCCTCACATTCTTGTCGGCTTCTAACGTGTCTGCAGGTGCTCCTGGGACACTTCTGCAGGACCAGCACACAGCGGCCACGTTGTTCTCAGAGACACCTTTGGTTTACCTTCCGTTTATCAGCATTAGATCTCGCTGTGTCCAAATAATAGCAGAGGGGGCAACGGATCAGGTGGAAGATCTTTTCCTGTAAGACCCTGAGGAAGCCCATAATCTAAAAGACATCTTCAAACATCTACACAACCAATTTATCCTGCAACTCTGGCATTTTTCATTAATAGCGGCCAAAGTAAGAAAGATAACAGATAATACATAATTCATGTATTGTACTTTTCCCACACTTTTAATTAGCAACCCGCTTTCACAGCTAACATGAGACTATCCAAGAACGGCATAAGATTAATATAGAGCAGTAAAACTGTGGTTGCAAGGTATTTACATGAATGCTAATGAGAAGTTTCAAATTGTCACCATAAAAGAACCCAAACTATGAAGAAATGAACAACTGTGGGAATGGGGGAGGGGCCAGAGGCGGTTAAATAATCTGTTCTACTGATGAATTGAATGGAAACATCGCTTAACAGGAAGGTCTCTTTTACCTGGTAGGCGGTGGCATCCAGGCCCGCGTGGCCACCTGGTCCTGAGAGTTTCTCCTTCAGCCGGTAGTGAGAGCTATGGCGCAGACAGTAGATGACACCGGAGGCCAGGAGGACCCCCAGGATGGCAGCGACGGAGATGAGGGTGAGCACGATGAACTTGGTGGAGTCCTCCTGCTCTGCCTGATGAGGCCGGAGCTTGAGTTTGCTCTTCTGCAGAACAGGAGAGAGGGGCCACGTTAGCACCTAACAAATCAGCTCCTAAAACCATCCTTTCCAAAAGCAACTCAAAACGCAAAGTGCAACACAACACACAGTGTTGGCATTGGAACCACAGTGGGAGGGCCCTCCAGAACAGCACCTCTCAAGCTGGAAGCAGAAGTCATTTCACAACAGCACACCACAGACTGCGATGTTTTCAAAAGGAAAGTTGGAGCCATCACTTTTTTTCTCTGAATGGCGGCCATTCATCAAACTTAACAATGTAAGATATTTAGTAATTAATTTGCTGCCATAAGCAAAACAAAGCGTTCATCCCTTCTTTTAAACAGATGTGAGGAAAATTCAGCAATTTATCCAGAGCTTGCCTCCCAGATGTTTGGGGGGTAGAGGTCGGGATGGGGGTGCCCAGATCTGCTGGGTTAAAAGCAGCAGCGCAAGTACGTGTCTTCGCACCCCAGACGGGCTGTTCTTCTGAGCTGCTGCTAACAGCCTTGGTAGGGGCGTAGGGTGGTTGCATCCTGGCGGAAGCGCTCCGCTTGCCTTCCGTGGCGGATCACCAATACGATCCCCACCACCTGGGCCCTCGAACGCCTGGGACTCAGACCCCAGCACCTCGCGCCTCAGCGCTGCCTCAGCGCTGCTCCCCGAAAGGCCGAAGGGCGTTTGGAACACGATGGTCCAGGAATTCACTTCTCCGCGGTGTCAAAAGTGAGGGAGCCAAACTCCATCAAATTCTCACCGTTTCATGGGGGAGGGGCGGGGGGGGGGGTGTGAGAAAACCCTTCTGGTGCATTTCACTGGTCCCCACGTGCAAAGAGTTGCATGGTGCTCGCCCTCATTAGCTTCATGATGAGGAATATTAGCAACAATTAAAACCGGAGCAGGAAGATGGAGAGGCCGGCGGCGCCGCGACTCCGGCCAGCGCGCGCTTCCACAATTACTAGGGAAATGAATGGAAGCGCACGCCCCCGCCTCGGTCCTGGTTGCTACAAGATGAGAACAATTAGCAAACCCCTTTCCACCACCTAATTTCGCGTGGTAACAAAATGGATTTTTCCCCATGAATGCCTGGCCGGCCTATTCATTATCTCTCTTCTATTAGTAATTTTCTGCTCCGTATTCAGCCTCCCAACTCTTCATTTCCTCCTGTCTCCGAGTGTACACAGGGCCTCTGATGTCAGGCCGGGCCATTTTTATCTTGTAATCATAAAGGCCACCAAGGCAATTATCGCCGGTCTTGACTGGAAAAGCTGGTCATTAATTAGCCTCCTTTCGCCTTCGGTGCCGCGGATTAGCCGGTGCCGGGACTGAGTTAATGGAAACGCGGGTTAAATGAGAAAAGACGCCGGATTTTCCTGCCTGGATGCGCGGCTCCTTGGACGGCGAGTTCGCCTACGGTGGGAGGGGCGCGGGGCGGGGGGGAGGTGCGCAGAGAGTGGGGAGGGACCAGGATGCCTGGGAGGGGAGCGAGCGGGGTGCGCGGCAGCCTGAGGCCTGTGTGGCCCGCTTCTGCGGCCGCCACAGCGGGGAGACCCTCCCCATCCCCTCTCCACCCCTCCCCTCGCCCCTCCCTCCCCGGCCTCACACTGCAGCCTCCAGAAAGAAGTCACCCCAAAGGCAGCTGGCGCCCCCCTCCCCCCGCCGCCCTGTCCCTCCGCACCCGGTCCCCGCCCCGCGCGGAGCGAGAGCCAAAACTACACAAACGGGGGACCCGACGCGGCGCCGCGAGACCCGGGAGGGCGGAGGGAACGCCACCGGCCCGGTCCTCGCCCCCGAGTGTCGCTGGGTCCCGCCGGTCCGACAGCGGCGGCGGGTTAAAGGGGAGCGCACTCCCGGGTGTCCCCCGCGGCGGCCAGCGCCGAGAGGTCGCAGCGCGCGGGGCCGGGGGAGCTGCCCAAACCCGGCCCGGGACGCTCCCTGAGAGCGCCCGCGAGGCTCCCGCCGGGCCAGGCACGGGTCCGGGGTCGCTGGCCGCCGCCGGGTGTTCGCGTTCGGCCGGCGGGGCCGCCTGTCCCCCTCCAATCCCCTCCTTCGGGAGAGAGCCTGGAGTGGGGACGTTTCCAGGAGGACTGCTCGCGAGGCCCGGAGCTTCGCCAGAAGGAGCGGGTCCACAACAAAGCAGGCGGCGCGGCCGAGGCGGGGTGTCCGGTTGGTCCTCCAGCCCGGCCCAGCCCGCCTGGCGGTCACTGCGCGCCCCACACCCCCCCCCAGACGACTGGCGGTCCCCGGGCCCCCACCCAGGGCGTCTGGCTCCGGCGTCGGGAGGACCCGCGCGCCCAGGTGTCTGACTGCCCCTGGGAACAGGGACTTCCCGAATCTTCCTGCCGGGCGACGCGAGGCGCACAGATGCCCGGTGACCAGCCCGGCTCCGAGGCGACGCGCACTGCCTCCGTGCGTGGCAGACGCATCAGTGGGCACCCGACCAACGGTCTCACGCGCCCTGGGGACGAAGGCCGGGAGTCTGGCCCCACTAGGGGCTGTGCGCGTGCGGCGGCCGCAGGCTCACCGAGAAAGGGGCACAAACTCAGCCGGTTGTCACTTGGTTTCAGGTGAGAGGCCGTGAACGCACTGGAGCGGCACCGAGGAGGAGGTGGCGGTGCCCTCACGTTAACCTGGCCCAGGCCTGGGACGACAGGAGAGACACCTGGGCGGGCGCTCATCGGGAGGCCGTGCCGAAGCTCTTCTCGGGGAGGCAGAGTGGCCGACATGCTGCTTGTCGCCGGAAACCGACCGTCACCGTGACCCGAGACGCGATCGGCCCACGCGGGGAACGGAATGGGGCCTGCCTGGGCTCCCTCTCACGCGGCGCGCTTGTAATTTACTCAAAGGTCAAAGAAAAATGTCAAGGAGAGTGATGTCCCGAGATCTCGAGTCCCTCCTCCCTGGGCCCCGCTGCCCCTCCTCCCAGCTGCCCGGCCCCCGCTGGGTCCCAGGTGCTCTCTCCCTGAGGAGAAGGGAAGGAGGAGAGGAAAGAGGACGAACCCGCATGCCCTTCGAGCCCCTCTTCCACGGTCTCCCCCAGATCCCCACAGAGAAGGGGTGACAGTGGTCCCCAGGCTGGGTGGGAGCCGCGCAGGTCACCGTCGGACTGGAGGTCGCAGGATCTCAGGGCCAGGCTGGGAACCCTCCTTCCTGCAGGCCTGCGGGCACCTGGGCTGGAACCTGAAAAGTCACTCTTCCCTGGGGCCACAACGGTTCCAACGTCCTACCTTGTGCTGGCTGGGTGGGTCAATTGGGGACGGAAACTGGCTGTAAGTCAGGTCTTAAGAATCCCACAAGAAACAAAAATTTATAGAAATTCTATTCTTACAAAAAAATTAGAGAGTGAACTCCTCTCCTTGGCATAGTGATTGAGTTTAAATAACTTTACAATTGTTTCGTTTCCTTTCCTCTCGTGGGGTTAAAAGAAAATCCCAAAACTTCAAACCCCTGCTGATGAGGAGCTTTAAGAGAAAAAAATGAGTCTGCTACCAGCTTAAAAGTGAGTTGCTCCACAGTCCTGTCTGTTCCACGTGTGACCTGGGGGGCTTCAGCCCCCCGTCTTCCTGGGTCCCTGGCCTCAAGACTGAGTGCCTGGAACTGCAGGTGCTCCCCTGAAACCTTGTCCTGGGGCCGGCCCTGCAGAGAGCCCACCACTAATTAGAGGCATCTTGTCAGTCTTGACTGGAAATTGAACGAAAATAATGCTTAAATATTTATGACTTTGACATTTACAGTCAGGCGTCTTTTAAGAGCGGAGCACCTCCTCCTGCACAGCGGCTCACCTCGCTGAAAGTTTGCGGCAGGGGAGGAGTGAGGAGGAAGAAGGGGAGGAAGCAGCAATCGGAGGCGCAGCAGGGGCGTCTGGGGCCCCAGGTTGTGGGAGACGCAACTGCAAGCACCTAGTGCTAAGTTTTCAGGTGCAGGAAAAGTATGATTTTAAAGTGATCAGGAATAATAAACCACCTTTTTTTTTTTATCAGGTTAGCTGTTACTTGAGAGTAAACTGAAGTACAATATTGCTTACTTCTTCCACTTGACTGTCTCCACCTGCAACTCCTTGAATTTAAAATACAAAATATTGCAAAAGCTGTGATTTGAAATAAATTTGTGACCACAGAGACAATTTATGGAATTGCTCTTAGAAATTGGAATCTACAGACATTGTTCTGACCTATTTAAACTATTTTGATCTGTGATTATAAGTGAAGGTGCATGGGGTTTCCCATACATTATCCTCTGAGCCCTTTACGGCAAAGTATCTTCAAAACTTTTTTTTTTTTTTTTTTAGCTGTCCATGTGGTAAACTTAAAAGAAAAGGAGAGAGAAGAAAAAAGAACATTCTATACCCAAACTTCACTGTGAGAACTGAGGCAGCCACCTAAATACAAAACTTTATGGTGACAAATACTTGTTGACAGGTAGCAAAATTTAGTATTTTTCCGAAGCTGTGCAATGTGACGGGTTAGCAAGAGCAATTCGTTATCTACGTCACTGACTCCCATTTTAAAACTCACACCTACCAAAAAACTTAGGGGCACAAGCATTCAATTTCATTAATATTAAACTTCCGTTATGGTCCATGTTTTAATTTGTGTTTTTAAGGAATTTGATTTGCAAACCCAGCCTCACCCTGTGTTCCTCTGTACTTTTAAGTTACTATAATTGTAAAGACCTTTTTCCCTGTAAAATTTAGAAATTAGTTTTAGAGACTACTAATGAGTTGTTAGAACAAGACTGTCTTTGGTTTCCTAGATGATTCATCTTAGAATTATTTGGAAATTTCATGCTAAATTTACTAAATATGTTTACTAAAATATAGTAACTATCACTTTAAGGCTGATCAAAATTTTTCACAGTTTTCAGGCCTTGGGAATGACCAAACTTAAAAATATGGGGGCGGGGCATCTTAAAATATTTTTAAAGTATTTTTTAAAGCTGTTAACTGAACTATTTTTAATTTGGAATTTGCCACAGAATTCTAATAAATGAGAGAAGTCAGGCGGAAATAA